GAAAGGTTTGGTGTTTGGTTGCCTTATGTACCCAAACCTCTACTAGTGATAACTGTTACCTCATTTGAATTGTTTGTATCCCTATGGTTAGTTGCAAAAAGAAATTTCATGGCTAGTTTAATTTGTATTCCAGACTAGTAGTGAGTTGAGTTTCTTTTAATCTTGTTGGGTAAAAAGCATATTTACAGCGTTTGCTAAACATATTGTATGGGAAAGGTAAATTGTTTTGAAATTGAAATAAAATAAAATCCAGTCTATCCCTTTCTCTCTAATTGATTCTCACTTTTGAAGAGCTTGAATGATAGTCGTGGTATAAAAATGAAGCTTTGATATTGCCAAAATGACACTAAACCATAAACTATTTGCTTCAAAGGGTACATACAGAAGAGTCCTCTGAAACCAAAAACAGAGAATTTGAAGCCAATCAGGTTGGATTACCTTAGTGCCTGATTATAAAGCGTGTGGAGTCTCAGCCTAATTTTTTCATAGAGTTAATAGTAATAGTTGGTGCTCATGTATGCATTTGAAGTTCTAGGCCATTGTTTTTATTCATATGCATTTTTTTTGTCATTACAGTTGTCTTATTTTTAAAATGTGAGAGTTTCAAGATGAATCCAAAGGCAGTTTTTCAACTAGATAATCCATGTTCTTACAAATTAGTAGCAGTATGACTTATTTAAATGTGTTAAATTGGACACTTTATAATCTCCAGGATTTAAAACTTCTGATTATTATTTCACTATATCATTCTCTTTAGCTAGGAAAAGGCTGCAAATGTGATAAAATACAAGTTTAGGTTGGTTATAGTCATAACGTGAATTGATACAATATTTTTTAAGTGTCTTGCTACTTTTTATATTAATGTTTCATCCAGGTTTCAGTATATTAAATGGTCACAAACTGTGCCAAGTGCTGAGCAACCTTAATTTGCATATTTCCAAATGGGCCATGTAAAGAATTGTAATTTTAATCTCCCTTTACTTGGCAGTCGTTAATAAACAGTTATAGTGATTAGGGGTTCTTGAACCTAGAAAGGAATTAAGAGTAAGACATCTGCTACTTGGCAAACAGGAAAAAAGTGTAATAGTTGAGGTAGTTTTAGCCTGAAGGCAGAAAATCCTGAGACAGAACACCTAATTAGCTATTTGCTTGAAGTACACCAACTCAATTTTTGGATGGTTGTGGTGATAAAACGAAAGTCTGTAGACATATAGCAAGAAAGATTTGAGTTCTTTTAAGAATTTCATCATAATAAGAATTGTTACAAGAGGCTGATGAGAAGTTGTTGGAATTTTCCTTAATGATGGTTATCTTTTGCCTCATTTAAAAACATGTATCTCTAATATAGAAAGAATTTAGTTTTAATGTTACTGACATTTTATGTCACTAAATATATAGTCTATTTAAATATAACTAACTGACTCTGACCTAGCTTTTTAAAAATATTAATACATAAGATAAATTTTGCTTCCATTTGACTATATCTGAGCACAAATGTTGTGCTGTATAAAAATGGGCATATACTGGGGGGTTGTGATGGTTGTTTGTGTGAAAAGATAGTTTAACTTAATCACATGCTTGATGTTTCTCCCCTTATAAACGCAGTGGTTTAAAAGTTACATGGCTAGAGGGTTGTTAATTACAGTAGTCTTTTGAATTCACTGCCACTACAAGCTATTGTCATTTAATGGGACTTTTGCCAAGTAATTGTTAAATAATCAACCTTATTTAATTTTTAGTTCAATTTCTGAAAAAAAGTTAAATGTAAAATAGGTGATAATATAACATTAGTATCTCTAAAGGGTTTAAAAGCACCGGTTAAAAAATAAACAATACCTGCTGGGGAGCCAGAGATTTATGCTTCTGGCAGATGTAGTCTTTGGAATAACAGCATTCATTTGAAGGATCCAAAGGTAGTTCCTGAGGTATTTGAAATGTATCATTCAGTAACTACTGTATCTCTACATAGCTATGGTAATTAGAGTTTAGTTAGGGAGGCAAAGCTTATATCATAAAAGTCAATTTGACCTTTGGGACTACTCTCTGACTAGACTTGGCCAGAAATAGTGTCCTCCAGATCTGTTATTTTGTGGAAACTTGGGTCTAGGCCAGGGTAAGGTGGTGTGAATGCTTCTGTTTTCTCTGGTTCATCCCCTGCTGGCCCAGGCCATTATTGGAATTTCAAGGAAGTCAGATCATCTGCAGCTAAAAGGTCATCTAAGAACAGAACCTATACAATGCTAGAGAAGTTTGGAAGGTACTAGAGGTTCACAGAACTTCTTAATCTGGGGTTTGGCAAAGATTTTTTATGTCTAGTGACTGTTCCTCCACCCCACATCAGGCACTGTGTAGACATTTTTACCGCAGATGTTTCTTATCACTGATAATTCTGAAATCTTTAATTGATACACTCTGGTCTTCATCATAAACTCATCCTTTCAACTTTCTTGCTTTATTATTTGGGTTTAAAAAAAAACTTAGCATCTCCAATTCTTCAATACACCTGCTTTCTCCATTTTTTTCCTGTCCATCTTAGTGTCCATGATCCATCTTTTTGATCTTGCTAGTACCCTTAAGTCATTACCTATTCGTCATCTTATCTGATAAATTCCAACCTAGGTGAAACTGTTTGTCTATGCCTGTCTATATGCAAATAGCTGAGCATAGCAAAACATCATACGACTGGACAGATTGGTACCTTCATAAGTAATCAGCCTCAGTTAGGCTCTAAGCACTACCTGCCTTTTATGTTCTTACCATTTTTTACTAGTCACTTCACTTCCGTATTCAATAGCAGTTTTAGATTTCTTCCCATCTTTTCAAACTTTTCTCCTTCTCTTCTCTAATTCTCTGTTGATGACTAAAATAGAAGCAATCAGATTGTACCTGTGTCTTGATTTCCACCACCAAATCTACAAAATTACCAGAATCTACACTTATCCTCACTTCCTATTCCAGTTGAGAAGCTGTGTCACTTAACAAGGACCTAAGCCCTTCCCATTAGAGGGTCCCTCTGGATCCCATTCTGTCTAGCCTTTTCAGGTGTCTTCCTTTACTGTGTTTTACATCCCTACCTTTTCTTCAGCACTTCAACGTACTGTAGTTTCATCTTTAAAACACATTTGTTGCACTCTGCATTGTCCTGTAGCTGTCACCCTGTCTCTCCACCTCTTTATAGCCAGATAGCATTAAACAAACAGTTTACTCACTGTCTTTACTTTTTCACCTCCCATTTATTGTTCTTCAGCTGACTCCAGTCTGTTTTCTGTCCCCATCATTTCAAGGAAACAGCTCTCAAATATCAATATGGCTAAACTCAGTGGATGTTTTTCTTTTCTGTCCTTATTTTACCTAACAGTGTTAACAATTGCCTTGGAACCTTCTTGTTTTGGCTTTGTGGTTGCCACTTTCTTCTGGTTTTCATCCTACATCTTAACCATTTTTTCAGTCTTCTTTTCTAGATTTTCCTGGATCTCTAGGTTCTGGAGTCTTTCCAGACCATTTTTCATTATTCCCGTGTCTTCCCAGATGATCTATGCTTCGAATTCATTTACCATATATATGTTGATGACTTTCAAATTTAGATCTTGCACTATGTTTTCTATTCTGGTTTTTAGATTTTTATACTCAGATGTATACTTTTCTTCTCTACTAAGAAGCACCACAGATTCAACATGTGCACAAACCCAGTGTCTTCTCTCTCCAAACTGACCTCTCCTCCAATATTGCTTTCTAATTAATAATACTTACCCCTCCTCGGTTGGTTCTGCCAGAAACCCAAGAGTCATTCTTAATTCTCTCCCTTAGCCCCCATGTGTGCTGTCTTTAAGCAAGTCATGTCAAATCTACTCCATAGTATGTCGTGTTTCTGTCCATTTATTGCCTTCTGCATTGCTGGCCTGTCTTACCCACATTACTATCATCTCCCTGTTAGACAATACTAATAACCTTCTAACTGGTCTTCTTTCATTCATTTTCGCTTTCATTTAATTGATTCTCCACATAACAGTCTAAAAATTTCATAATTTTATAAGACAGATTTCATCATTTTATTCCTCTCCTTAAAACGTTTGAGTGGCTTCCTATTGCTCTATGGTAACATCTGAATACTTTAATGTGGCCTACATGGTCCTGCATAAGCCAGCATCTTCCTCTTCAGGTTTATCTTTCTGTGGTCCCTACTGTAGTCACAGTGGCTGTCTTTTAGTTACTTGAATATACAGTTCCTTCTTGCCTTGGGCTTTGTATAAGTAGCCACTTTTGCTTGAGATGTCCTTTACAACTCCCTTTACTCTTCCTATTTTTATTTATTCTTTAGGTCCTGACATAAATTTTACTTCTTCTGTGAGGTGTTATCCGATATTCACAGATTAGCTTAAGTTACATTGACAGCTTTCTGTACTCTTCTTTCTAAGGATTTACCACAATTATGATTTCTTGGGTGACACTGTTTTTCGTCTCCCTCTCCCACTAAATGGAAAACTGTCAGAGCAATAGATTGTGTCTATCTCAGTCACCTTAATCCAGGGATCTGGCTCATAGTAAAAGCATGCAATGAATATTTTTTGAATGAACTGAATGACTGAATACTTTTCAACAAAAGGGAACAATAGGAAATAGTAAAACAAATTTGTTTTTTTATAGCATTTCATTTAGATAGAAGAAATTCACCACCAAATAGTTTGACACCGTGTCTAAAGATTCGAAATATGTTTGATCCAGTTATGTAAGTATTATGATCAAAGTACATGTAATTTTTATTTGGAATATTTGACTGAAAAATGCATGATAAATACACTGCTTTGTCTGTAACTGAAAAATCTTTTACTTCTGAATATCTAACTACTGAAATGTTATGTTTTTCTCATTTCTTCTTTTTTGTTGAATTTTAAGCAAAGGTTTCATCAAAAGACACAGATGTATAATGATTTGTAAAACTTTTATAAATCTTTGTATTCCCTTTGAATCCCCATAGCAGATAAATGCTTGAGTTAAAGATGTGATGATAAACAGTATTCTTTATTAAATGTGTAAGTCATGTCTGCCACCCTTTTTTGCCTCAGTAGGCGATATACATAAAAATATCTGCTATTTTAAAGTTTCCAACCCCTCATTGTAAAAAATTTTCTACAAAGATGTACATACTTTCCCTTTTACAAGACCTGCCCACCTGTTCATGCAATGTTTGAGAAGCTTCTCTGTCTGTGTAACTGCAGCAGCACACGTGTCTGGAGAACAGCACAGTCAAAGGGGTTGCCGTAGAATCCGTAATATTTCACACATGGGCTGTAATAATAGTCTTTAGAATTTGCTTCCAAGAGCCGACTGCTTGTTTCTCTGATGGTAGGACAAGGCAAATTCTGTTTTGTTTTTCTTTTAAAGCTGACAAGGGAAATTGTATTTCATATAAAATAGCCATAAATCCCATCTAATAACTCATTTATGTCAATAAATAGTTGATATGGTGAGATTCCGAATAAGTGACAGCAAACTTGGAAATGTGAGGAAGCACTAGGTACACACACACACAAGCACACACACACACACACACACACACACACTTCCTCCATTATGCAGGGTTAGAAATAATTAACAGTGTGGTGGTCCCTCCATTGGGAGTCTTACGTCATACGTTAGGGATTAGGAAATCAATGCCAGTCCAGTATTTTATTACCTGTTGTGAAGATTTATGATTTAAAGTGTAGCCACCTTTTCTTCTGCCCCACTGTCTATATCTACAAGAAAAACAAATGTGCATTACTGTAGCGGGAAATCTTTCATAATAGTAAAGTGACTTATTTGTGCAAAATGTTTGTCTTATATCACTCTTCCATTATTTTGGAAAAGAAAAGCTCAGAGTACACTATTTACTAAGAATTTTCCTTAAGTTTAGGAATTTGAAAATGTCATTAAAAATAATATTTAACTTTACAAGTTTACTACAACTCCTTAAAGTGCGTATTAACATTCGTCTAGATAGAAAAAAGAGATGACTCTAAGTACATAAACACAAAAATGACAGCACATTTGTTCTGCTGTGGTGGACTGATCCTTCATTGCCTCAGCTTGTGCATTTTTACACTGGAAAATGAGACCAGGGCTGGGACTTATGAATACTAGTATTTTTTATTCTACCTACTGCTAGCAGCAAGCTTTTATTTGCTATTAGTTTTAACAAAGTGTGGTTTTTAAACTGTCCCCATTCTAGTAGGTTATATATGTTATAAGAGACAGAAGACTTCTTTCTGAGTAGGAATATGGTTGTTGATTTTTATTTTCATTAATTTTTAGGGAAATAGGGGATCAGTGGCATTTGGCAATTCAAGAAGCAATTTTAGAAAAATGCAGTGATAATGATGGCATTGTTCACATTGCAGTAGACAAAAACTCACGTGAGGTAAATTAACTTTTACTATTGAATTCTACATTTTGGATTTGTTGCTACTAAACTAAGACTATTTCTTTTCTTTCTTCCTTCCTTTTTTTTTTTTTTTTCTTTTTTTCTTTTTTTTTTTAAATACCACAGGGTTGTGTATACGTTAAATGTCTGTCTCCAGAATATGCTGGGAAAGCTTTTAAGGCATTGCATGGCTCGTGGTTTGATGGTAAGAAATTTGAGTATTACAAACATTTTGAAAAGATGAATTATGGCTTACTGTTAAACTATACCAGATTTTAAATTAAAGAATTTTGGATTAGCATTTTTAGAGTAATAATTTTAGATTATTTTATTTGTGTTTTATGTTTATATGCATTTTCCACAGTTTGTTTTCTATAAATATTAAGCACATTTGTATAGATCTAAAATGTTATTTTTATCTTACAACAGGAAAATTGGTTACAGTAAAATATTTACGACTAGATAGATATCACCATCGCTTTCCCCAGGCTCTTACTTGCAACACTCCCTTGAAGCCATCAAATAAACATATGAACTCTATGTCTCATCTTCGTCTTCGGACTGGCCTAGCCAATTCTCAAGGAGGTTCCTGAAAAGACTTTCTTCCACTCCTAGGACTGTTCTTTACAATAGGAAAATTCCTATTTGGCTTTCTGTCTCCCTTTTTAAATGCTTTTTGTATGTAATATTTTTATTGACTACAGCTCTGTTCGAACGTTCCAGAAATATTAAGGTTTCAAAGGGACTTAGCAGTGAGGCAGCAATGCTGGGTAGATAGAATGATTGTTTCATTCAGTTTTTGGAGCTCGATTAAGCCAATGCACTTAAAGTTTTGCATGAGGAACATTGACCTTATTAAGCATTTTCAAATGTGGTGGTTGTATTTTTGCACCAAGAAGTGTTTGGATAACCACACAAAAGCATGGTGAAAAGGCTTCTTGTATTTCCATAATTTCCTGTAAACTACTGTTGTGAATTTTTGTATACAGTCACCTACATAGTTTCTTACAGGCTAATGTGGTAAAACTGTTCATTTCCCAATTTAACTTTAGGTTTCTGTTGCTTGTAAGAGATTCATTTGCTACAGCTGGAATTTGGGAAAATTAATTTCGGTTTAGTGGTTACATATAAGTATCAGTGGATGTACATGTACTTAAACTGGCTTTTGTATATATGTATAAATGCTGGTGATGGCGAAAGTAGTCTTGTTTTGTGAGGATGTCTGCATTAAAGCAGTAAAATAAGCTCCCTATTTTATTCATAACCTAATGTGTATATATATGTATGTGTATATATGTGTGTATGTATATATATATGTATGTGTCTATGTGTATATATACACACACACATATACATACGGCTGTACTATCATATAGATCAAACAGCCAAACACCTGGAAGTATTAGATACAAGTTTAAAATATCTTTTATAGGTTTTATATAAAAATGTCTGAGTATGATTTTGTTGAAAGTTCGGATACCAGTTGTAATGGGTTCAGATTTATGTGAGCAATAAAGAAGCAATTGGCAGATGTTGGAAAAGTATTTTGTGAAAAGCTGTATTTATTATAAATGCTAGGGCTATGACATAGTACCAGTGGGATTAAGTCATTTTCCCAATCTATTTATAATTTAATGAAATGTTAGCTTCCCTGTTATATGTCAAGTTTAAAGCAGGGCACGTTGTTGCAGCAAAATGTGTATTTGAAAAACTATATTTGTAATTTTAGGTCATGAAAGTTTGCAGTATAGTAAATGCACGAGGTTACTTTGTGCCTCGGTATTTACTTTCTTTCAGTAAAGTTAGGTTATTACTGTTTATATGATTTCAGATTAAAATAGTTACCGAGCAAAGTTTACTTGTAATGTAACAATTGGCTTTTTTAAAATAACCTGTTGATACATCATTGTCAGTCCAAGTGAATATGTGAAACAGCTGGAATTGTACCAATTTTAATTTTGTTTAAAGCTCAGTTTCCTTTTTTCTTTTTTCTTTTTTTAAATTGTATATGTGTTGGGTTTGCAGCATGAACTTGCACAGTTAATGCACGTTTTCTGGTTAAGTAAACATGATGCACACTGTTCTGTAACAGAAAACCCTATTGTGCCTTACCTATGTGCTTTTGTGGGCACCATGTTTATGAATAATAAAAATGATTTGTTAACTGAAAAGAATAAATTTAAAATTCTCAGTTTATGTCTCAGATGCTAAAGTGTGAAAATATAAATATATATAATATATAAAATAACCAATCTTTCTGTATTTTATGTGCATCACAGTGATTTATCTGAGCTTAGTGACCCCATCTTGTGACCTGTTGGGAGAGTGAATGTAAAAAATAGTTGTGGCATTTTAAAAGGTCGCCTTGATGCAGATGCATCTTTTTCTTGCTTCTAAAACATATTCCATGTAAACATTGTACATTTATTACTGTAATATAAACTATTATGCAGCTTATTTTACCTGAAACTCTTAAGCCGACCAAGATCCCTCCCTGCAAGACAGATGGGAATGTGTATAATAACTAGATATTTGAGAAGTTCTGAAGTTTGATGTAATCTGTTACTTGTCCTGTTAAAAAAAGGAAAAAATTCTAATTAAAATTTTATTAGATTTTTTTAATGTGTCTTGGCTTTTAAAAAACTTTCTAAGTGCCCTGTGTCTTTATTTATTTTTTAACCAGTAAAAATAGGTGCCTTTATTTTAAATCTGTTTGGATATCTGTAAATACATATATGCTTATAAAAATGGATAAAGACCGTAAAGTTAATTTTACCATCCATTCCTTGGCATTTCATACTTTATGAAAATGTCTTTGAGACAAACATTTGAAAGTTAAAGTGGGGCAAGAATGTAAATCAGATGTATCACTAAAGCACTGCTTAGTTGAGCTAGACATTTTTTCATAGCAAGACTTTCTCAGAAAGGAAGCTATTCTTTTACACATTCTGGCTCAAACTCATTATAAACAAACAGTTACGGGCTAGTTACTTTGAGTAGCATTGGTTTAGGTTTTTGGTAGTTTAGTAAAAAGATTAGTCAGTTATAGACTTTTATTGATTGCCAGCATGTCAGGCACGGTTATATATTAGTGATGTAAAGATAAAAAAGGCATGGCCCGATCATTAAGATGGAAGAACACAGGGCCGATAAAAGATAGCATGGAAAATCGAGAAGAAAGCAGAATAAATTCTGAGAATATAGAGAGGTACCTCATGCATCTTAATAGATGGAGAAGACATCAGGGCAGATGAGGTAACATTTATCAAACACTTGTTAATTAGTATAGATAAAATGATAAGTCTCCTTTCCTTTAAGCTCTCAGGGGAGCTTCTGTTCTTGTGGTGGCTCCTAAAAATTATTGTGTGGAACCTGAGTTATTACAAAATCCATTTTCATGCTTGTTGGTCTCTAGATTCCTGAATATCTTGTGAATATTGAAGCCTGATATTGGACTTTGTTATATTTTCCTTGTGTGATTGTTCACTGTTTGGATGACAAGTTGTGATTTCCAAGTGAACAGTATTTTGATGTATCATGTGCCCAGAACATTTTCTTTAATAAGATTGACCTTACAATTCCCACTCCTTGCTCCTAGTGACATTACGTTACTGTAGGTCACCTACATGGCTTCTTCATCCTTTTTTCCTAGACTTACCTCAGCAAGTCACTTCTTCCAGATGACTCAACAAAGGATGCTAAATCAAGCAGAATTTTGGCAGCTACTCTTTTGGAAAGGATGCTCAAAAACAGGTACTTAACTGAAAATTAGAAACCAGAAGTTGTGGTTTAAAGAAGCAGTGTCCATGATACTCATTCTACTGGTCTAATGAGCTTGACTAGCTACTGCCTTTAAGCCCCATTGGAGAAACTTTATGACTGAAAATGCATCTTTTTTTAACTTTGGAAATTGTAAATTCTTATTCTATATTCAATATTTTGCTTCTAATTTTTCTTAAAATTTATACATGATAAAAATGCATCCTGACAGTAGATTTCTATACCTCAGAACCTCTACTAGGGACAGGAGGATAGACTCATTTTGTTGATTCTTAAATTTTAAAGCCTGTGTACTTATTTACAGATTTACTGTTTCTTCTGGAAGGCTATCTAGGCATAAAAAGCACATGAAAAAAGACAGCTTAATGAGAAACCTATTGCATATAGAAAGTACAAGCAATTTCTTATGGTTGAATTACTGAGTACAAGACAATAGAGACAGGAAAGGTAGGTAAGGACTAGATCATGAAAGTTTTGTAGGTCACATTCTGAAGTTTGGATGTGGGTTGTTAAAGGGAGATCAGGTGAGGATTTGTTAGGATGGAAAATGGAGAAAGGATTTGAAAAATAAGAAACTTGATGGGAAGGACTTGATTAATTGGATATTGAGAGAGAGATTGATGTCCAATTTTCTAATGTGGGAATTCTCAACAGTCACAGCATTTGGAGAATAGGTGATAAGTAATAAATTGGATGGGAAAGATGATAAATTGAATCTTGGGGTACTTTGAGTTTGAGATGCCTGTGTAATATTCAGATGGATGTTACTGGCAGGTAATTGAATTTCCAATCCAAAAAAATTAATGTGGACATTTTGAGAATTCAGTAGCTCTTTATGTCCTACTTCGTAATAGCCAAAACACAACTTGGTCTTCAAGACCTGCCTTTATCTAGACCAGTGCTGTCCAATATTAATAATGTCAGCCATGTGTAATTTAAAAATTCCTGATGACCACATTAAAAAAAATAAAAAACAGATGAGATTAACCTTAATACATTTTATTTAACCATATATATATCCAGGATATTATCATCTCAACACATAATCAAAGATTTTATTAAGGAGCTATTTTATATGCTTTGGTATCTAGAGTATACAGCTAGGGAGATCCTGTGTTGTATGACTTAACAGAGCTAAAACTTGTATAGTTCGTCAGCTTACTGACACCCCATCTTAACTCAGGTGCTACATTTTCATTGAAAATAGTTGGTCTATATTCAGATTTCATAAAATCTACAGTTTGAAAAAGTATATTCACATACCCAAGTTCTTCCAAATATACCTCAGGTTTTCCTATAACTGAATCAGTTATCGGTTGTTAATTCAAAATAAAACTTAAGTTATTTCATTGTACCAGCCACATTTTGAGTGTTAACCAGTGTGACCAGTGACTGCTGTGCTGACAGTGCTGGTCTAGAGCAATCTGTGTCTCTCTGGCTAATGCCTAGTCCTCCCCCGGCCACTGTGCACCAGCTGAACTGCATTGCTTGTCCTTCCCCTCGTACGTAGCTTTTGCTTGATTCTGCCTTTACTGACAGTGTTCCTATTGTTACTTTTGCCTGAAACACCCTTCATTTCCTACTTCTATATACCCAAATTTTACCCATCCTCTAGAATCCTATACACTCTTCTAGAGATCACTATAGACTTCCTTTTGCCAAACTAAAAACTTGTTTCTTTCCTGAACTCTCAGCACCACCTGGCATAGCTGATCATTACCTCCCTTTTTACTTGGAAATTTTTTATTATGAAATGATTTACACATATTAGGTTATATATGAAGTATATATTTTACTTACATTTTGAAGTACAACATCATTTAAGACACAGAACATTAACTCTGAAGCACCTTTGTGTCTATGATGCTTCTATTTCCTAACTCCCAGATAAACACTATCCTAAATTTTGTGTTCATAATTCTTTATTTTTCATTATAGTTTTTCCACACATGTATGTATTTCTAAATACAGTGTTTCCTGCTTTTGACTTCTCTGTGAATAGAATCAAGTTATATGTATACTTTGGTGACTTTTTTTGCTCAACATTGTTTTTGAGATTCATTTGTATAGATGTACATGTAGCCATCATTTATTATCATGGCTGTATAGTATTCTATTATAAAATACACCACAATGTATCCACTCAACTGTGGACATTTGGATTGTTTTTAATTTTTTTAATATTATAAACAAAGTAGTTAAGACTGTTCCTTCTTGAACACTTTTCTAGCTGCACATATTCAGCTTTCTCTAGGTCAGTGATAGGCAAAAAGTATAGTTCTCAAATCAGCAGTATGAACACCACCTGGGAACTTGTTAGTCCAAGAAGATTTGGGGCCCCACTCCATACTTTCTGAGTCAGACATTTTGAGTTGGGACCTAGTAATCTGTATTTTAATAAACCCTGAAGGTGATCCCAATGGCACACTCAAGTTTGAGAACCTTTTGTGAGATTAATTTGCATCTCCTGATTAGATTTTTGGCTTACATATTCTTTTTGAAATACTTTACTTTTTAATACTTTTTTTCCTGTGACACTTGAGAACTTCTGATGAGGAAGTGGTTTACACCTAGCCAAAGGTGGTAGACTCTGAAAAATACACAAAGAAAGCCTGTCACATGTACTCTAATTTAGCTAAACCCTCAAGGCTCTGGCAAAGCCATAAACTGAAACTGTTTTCTTTGGTGATAAAGTCAGCCTGCTCAAAGATAGTCTGCTTAGTTAGCCTAACCTTTTGCTAGCTGCCAGCTAATCAGTTTATTTAAAAACTATATAAACTGTTCCTAAACTGTCTGCAGTTTTTCCCCTCCTTTTTCATACCTTTTACTTTTTTTTTTTTGCTTTGATAATTTTTTGATTGTCTACCTCATGTGGCTAAATTTGCATACAAGTAACTAACTAAATATTTCTGAGTTATTTTTTTATACACCACAATCTTGTCTTTTCTCCTACTTAACTGGTTACTCCTTTTCGGACTTGTTTATTCAGCTTGCTAACTTGATAACCTTCATTTAGATGACTAAAGGCTTTTCACATTTTACATACCAACACAAAACTCTGATTTCCATGCCTCATTGCCTCCAAATTTACTCTTCTAGTCTTTCCTTTGCAGTGACCACACGTCAGCTGTCTTAAGCTGAAAACCTAGGAGTTATTCATTTCTCTTTTTTCAACAATTTCCACATTCAGTTATTCAGTTAGACCTTTCTGCTCTTCCATATCAACCTGTCTGCCTGTTTGTCTATGCGTCTGTCTGTCTATCTTTCTAATTGCCAATCTATCCATGCCCTTGATACCATCATTTATATCTTGCCTGGATTGCTACAAAAACTTCCTAAGCTGGTGTCCTTGTTTCCTGCCCAGCTACAATCCATTTGCCATGCAGACTCAAACTTGTCTTCAAAACCATATCAGAACATGACCTTCCCTAAAATAAAACCTTCCAATGATTCCCATTGCATTTGGAATTAAATCTGAATTTCTCGTCTTGGCCTGCAAGGCCCTCTGCAAACTGGCCTATGCCCATCTCTTCAAGTATTTCTTCTATCAGGCCTCCTTCACTTAACTCTCTACCCACTTCATACATCATACTTGTTCTTTCTGCCTGGAATACTGTTCCCCTGGGCCTAGATCTTTGCTTTTGATGTGGTCCAGTTTAACTACTTTTTTCTTTTGTGCTTGTATTTTGGGTTCTAAGAGCCATTGCCTAATCCTAGGTCATGATAATTAACTTTTATGTTTTCTTATGTGAGTTTTATTATTTTTGCTGTCACGTCTAGGTCGTTGATCC